CCAGCCCCTGGGGACAGACCCCACCCTTGAGAAAAGGCTGAGACCCCTGTGATGGGCTCTCCCCAGGCTCCCCTTGGCCTTGACCTTCCCTCACCCTGGCCTTGCCTCTTGGTTCCCTGAATTTTCCTTCCTCCCTCCCTCCCTCCCTTCCTTCCTTCCTTCCTTCTTTCTTTCTTTCCTTCTTTCTCTCACAGAGAGAAAGAGAGAAAAAGAGAAAGGAAGGACGAGGCCAAGGGGAGCCTGGGGAGAGCCCATCACAGGGGTCTCAGCTCTTGTTGCCCAGGCTGGGGTGCAATGGCATGAACTTGGCTCACTGCAACCTCTGCCTCCCAGGTTCAAGTGATTCTCCTGCTTCAGCCTCCCAAGTAGCTGGGATCATAGGCGTGCACCACCATGCCCGGCTAATTTTTGGAATTTTTAGTAGAGATAGGATTTCTCCATGTTGGTCAGGCTGGTCTCGTCTGGAACTCTCGACCTCAGGTGATCCGCCTACCTAGGCCTCCCAAAGTGCTGGGATTATAGGTGTGAGCCACTGTGCCCGGCCATCTCCTTCCTCCCTCCCTCCCTCCCTCCTCCCTCCTCCTTTCTTTCTTTCCTTACTCCCTCCCTCCCTCCTTCCTTCCTTCCTGCCTTCCTTCCTTCTTTCTTTCTCCTTTCCTTTGTTCTTTCTTTCTTACTCTGTCACTCAGGCTGGAGTGCAGTGGCATGATCACAGCACACTGCCACCTCAACTTCCTGGGCTCAAGCAGTCCTCCTACCTCAGGCTCCCAAGTAGCTGGGACCACAGGCACATGCCAACATACCCAGCTAATTTTTGTATTTTTTGTAAGAACAAGGTCTCACTGTGTTGTCCAGGCTGGTCTCAAACTCCTGAACTCAAGCGATCCTCTAGTCTCGGCCTCCCAAAGTACTGAGATTACAGGTGGTGAGCCCCTACAACTGGTCTGAAATCTTCTTCGCCCCTCCCCCACCCCGTCAGCCCCTACCTCAATGGCCACTTCCATGGTACACCTGGGTCCTGGCTCGGTCAGTGACACCCTCCCATCCGCCGTTTCCGCCCAAAGCGTCTGCTCCCAGAGCACGGCCTCTTGTCTTTCCACACGTCCACTCTGTGCCCTGAACTCCCATCATGCCTTCCCTCTTGCCGTCTGCCATCGGGGCACATTCCTTGTCCTTCCCCTCCCGTGTCCTCTGCTTACTCGGGTTCCAACCTCATTGTCTGCTGCAGACGCCCTCGGTCACCCTGCCCTCCCCCTCCTCCATCCACCTGGAGAATCCCTGTCCCAGTTGAGTCCTGGTGCTGCTTGTTGCTGTCTGATATCCAAGCAGCAGAACCTGCCTGGACAAAGCCACCTGACGGCACGACCGACTTTATCTATGACGACCTCCAGCAAACAATCTGTGCTGTCCAGCAATCCTGTGTTCCGCTGGTCAGCTCGCAGCCCCTGTCTCCTAGACCACAGCTTCTTCCTCTCCCCAAACCTCCAATACCCCACCTCCCTCAGCCCTCGGCTCACTCTCAGACATAGGTTGCTTTGTTTACTGGGGCGGGATCTCGCTATGCTGTTGAGGCTGGAGTCGGGTGGTGTGATCACGGCTCACTGCAGCCTCAAACTCCTGGGCTAAAGTGATCCTCCCTCCTCATCTTCCTGAGTAGCTGGTCCACATCACCATGGCTGGCTAACTTTGTTTCTTTTTCTTTTTTGTAGGGACAGGGTCTCACCCTGTTGTGCAGGCTGGCCTCAAACTCCTGAGCTCAAGAGATCTTCCTGCCTTGGCTTCCCAAAATGCTGGGATTACAGGCATGAGCTTCACTGCAAACAGAGGCAATCAGAGGCGTTCCTGGCCCTGCACTCACCAGCCTCCCTGGGTGGTCCTCTGGGCAACTGCCCTCCCCTCCTGCCCATCCTCCTGTCCTCCCTGCCTGGGCCCCATGCACCTCGCTTCCTCTTCCACCTTCCCGAGGCTTCCCTCCACCACGGCCCCGTCTCTTCTGCATCACCGCCTGTTTCCTTTCCTGGGTCAACCCCATCAGCATGCAACAAACACGCAGGAATGCCCCCAGACTTTAGGAAGCCACCCTTTGACCCCACAACCCCTTTAGCTCCCGCTGTGCTTATCTGATCCCCTTCTAGCACATTCCCTTAGAAGGGTGGTCTCTGTGCTCTCTCTCTCCGCCCCGCTCCCTGCATCCCCATCATCCCCTGGGCCCACCGAAGTCGAAGTCGGGCTTCCAGGCCTGCCCTTCCACCCACACAGCTCTTGCCAAGGTCAGCAATGACCATCACAGTCCTCCACCTGCTAGCGGCCTCGGAGGTGGCCGCTCACTCCCTCTGTCTGCGAACATGCTCTTCTCTTGGCCCCAGGACGTGGCTTTGCCTCCCTGTCTCTCATTTGCTCCTCTTGTCCTTGGTAACCTGCCTGCCCGCCCTCTTCCTGGGAGAGCTCTTCCATCCCAGGGCCTGAGTCCCAGATTCCTCCCCGAAGGCCAGCCCCCGCCATCCGACCTCCAGGCCTGCACTCCCAAGGGACGGACTCCTCCATCCTCACACTTCTTGTTTCCCATCCGCCCCACTGCGAAGCTCCGAACCCGCTCCTCCCACAGCAAATGGAAACTGCGTGCTCTGCTTCCTCAGACCCAAGCTCCTGGAGTGGCCCTTACTCCCATCTCCTTGTTACATCCCATGATGGGTGCTTTTCTTTTTTTTTTGAGACAGGGTCTCACTTTGTCACCCAGGCTGGGGTACGGTGGCGCAATCACAGCTAGATCAGCGATCGTGTGAACTCTGACTTTAAAACACACTTGAGGCCAGGCGCGGTGGCTCACACCTGTAATCCTAGCACTTTGGGAGACAGAGGCAGGTGGATCATGAGGTGAGGAGTTCGAGACCAGCCTGGCCAACATGTGAAACCCTGTCTCTACCACGTGTGGTGGTGCGAGTTTGTAATTCTAGCTACTCAGGAGGCTGAGGCAGGAGAATTTCTTGAACCTGGGAGGTGGAGGTTGCAGTGAGCTGAGATCACACCAGTACACTCCAGGCTGTGTGACAGAGCAAGGCTCCGTCTCAGAAAAAAAAAACCAAAATGAAACACACACACCCCCCCCCCCCCCCCCCACCACACACACACACGGCCCCAGCCCCTTTCCAGGAGTGCTGGGACCCAGCGCCTGGCTGTCCTCCCTCCCCTGTAAGAACGCAGCAGTTCCCCAGTATCCCAGTTTCACCTTCTCCACACAGAAGCCAAAGGACCCTTTTAAAATGCAAGTCAAATCCCATCTCTCGCCGGCTCAAAACCCCCCAGGGGCTTGCAGAGAGGAGGACACGAAGTCCTCAAAGTCCTCCTGCAGCCCACCAGGCCTGAGTGGCCAGCCTGTTTCTGAGCTGACCTCTTGGCAGGCCCCAGGAGGGCAGAGCTGTGTCTGATAGGTCGGGGCTGTCTCGGCACCCAGGCCGTGTATCGGTACATATTTGATGGATGAATTAACTGATGGATGGGTGACTGCGGCTTCCCCGGGAGGCCCTGCCTTGGACCCCAGCCCAGCCTCCGCGTGTCCCTGCCTGCCTGGGCCTGCACCTGGCCACCCCCTCCCCCCACCTCCGCCAGGTGTGCCGCCTCAAAAACTGTTGGTTCTGGTTGCCAATCTCTTAGCAGAGAGGGGTGCCCCAGGGGCCAAGGGTCTGTGGTACCTGGGCGAATCTCCTCTTGCTGCGCTGGTCACCCTCTTGGGTCTCTCTCCTCCATCTCCCCATCTGGTGGGTGGGGCTGAGGGAGCAAAGACCACGCCCGCAATCTGGCTACACCCTTCTTCCAGCCAACCAAGCACCAGAAAACCAAGATTTGCACAAAGAGCTGGTGGCCTGGAGGGGGTCCCTCAGGCTCCTCAGTCTGCTCTGCGGCAGGGCCAGCCACTTGTCCCATTCTTGGAGCCATGCGTGGTAAGGGATCAAAGCCCCAGATAACTCCACACTGCCTTGCACAAGCCTAGCTTCTCACTTTGGACATCTACATTGCCCCACTTGGGGTCATTCGAAGCCAGTGAGGTGAGTGCGTGGGGGCAGGGCTGGACCTAGAACCCCCCGTCCCTCCCCTGGGCAAGGTCCCCACATCTCCTTTCCCAGTGATGCTCCGGTTCCCAGGATCTTTTTGGCCAGCTGCAGAATGGCCATTCATCTCGGGCTTCAATTTCCCACCTGCCCCTTTGACCTCCCAGGCCTCTCCAGCGGGGCCAGGGAGCTAGGACTGTGCTGTCGGGGCTTGTCTCTGGGGCTTGGGGCACCGCCCACAGTGAGGACTGCTATGTACCAGGTGCCTTCCGCCCAGTCCTCACAGCAGCCCTGCATCTTCACAAATGGGAAAACAGGCCAGGTGAGGGGGTCACGCCTGTAATCCCAGTACTCTGGGAGGCTTAGGCGGGTGGATCACGAGGTCAGGAGTTCGAGACCAGCCAGGCCAACATGGTGAAACCCTTCTCTACTAAAGATATACAAAATTAGTCAGGTGTGGTGGTGCACACCTGTAATCCCAGCTACTCGGGAGGCTGAGGCAGGAGAATTGTTTGAACCCGGGAGGCGGAGGTTGCATGAGCTGAGATCGTGCCATTGCACTCCAGCCTGGGTGACGGGGCAAGATTCTGTCTCAGAAAAAAGAAAAATAAGAAAAGAAAAAAGAAACGTCCCTGGTTAGGGCCACAGGGGGGCGTGGCGGGAGCCATCGGCTGGGAGGGGGTGGTGGCTGGGCAGTGCCAGGATGGAGAGATGTGTCTGTCTTATGAGGGTGGGCAGACAGGCCCTGGTTCCAGGAGCTGAACTGAGACAGAACTGTGGCGTCTCTTCTCATCGATAGACTAAATTGAACTAGCTCATAGAAATTCTCCATTTTAAGTTTCTTTACTTAAAGGTTTCTGATATGTTTAACACCTGCCAATACATGTATGTACATGATATTCAGTAAGGATCATTGCAAACTGGGCATGGTGGCTTGTGCCCGTAATCCCAGCGCCTTGGGAGGCTGAGATGGGAGGATCACTTGAACTCAGGAGGCTGAGGCTGCAGTGAGCTGTGATGGTGCCACTACCCCCCAGCCTGAGTGTCAGAGCAGGATCCTGTCTGTAAATAGTAAAACAGTAACAGTAATAACTGTACCGCCTATCCACGTTTCATCCATACATCCCGGTATTGTGCACGCTCCTTACAAAGGTATGAAAATTCACAGAAAATCTGTGCTTGCTCAGCGATACAATCAGGCCTATTTGGCAGACACGGAAACAGGTTCACAGAAGGGAAGTCACTTGCCGGAAGCCCCACGGCCGGCATGGGGTGGCACTGAGACGCGCACCCGGGTCTGGGCAGCGTTAAAACCCCTGCCCCACCCGCGGCCCTCCCGTCTCCGTGTTAGCGAGGAGCCCTGGGATGTTTGGGGAGCCGGCTTCCTGTTTCCATCTGTGTTTGTGGAGATTGCCCTGATCTTTCAGGCATTCCGCCCTAGAGAGCCCCTTGGGGTGGGGGCTTCCTGTTCCTCTTGCTAGGACATGGCCTTGGGGCTAAGGCCGAGAGGAGTCAAGGTGGGAGGGGAGTGGAGTGGGATGCTTGGGGGCTGCCCCTCCAGCCTCAGACATGCCCGGGGTCTGCCCAGAGCCCCTCGCTGGGCCCTGGCTGAGCCACTGCCAAGGGCTGACTCTCATCTCCTGACTGATCCTGCCAGCTGGAGCCAAGGTGGACTCTCCCCATAGACTGGGATGAGTACCCAGGACCCGGTGGTGGCTCTGAGCCTCCTTGTGTCATCTTCTCCCCACCCAGGGCTCCTCACGCTCTGCAGGGGGGTGCGCTTGGGTCTCGGAGAGCGTGGCCTCAGTCCCCTGGGGCTTCTGAGTGCATCCAGGCTGCTCTGCTGACCCTAGAAGGTGACCAGGAAGCTGTGAGGTCAGGGGAAGGGACGGGCCTCAAGAGCGGGTCACAGCCCAGCCAGGACCTGTGTGGACAGAGGCCTTCCTGGTGATGGATTCGCCACCTGTGACATACGCCACCAGCCTGCGTGTCTGTGCCCCCAATACTGCCAGACAGTGCAGAGCGAGGGCTGCCCAGACCCCATGCTGTGGGGAAGTGACGGAGGAGCCAGGAGCCGGTGAGACTAGCTGGGGACGTCCTGGCCACTCCTCCATCCCCTCCCCCTCGTTCTGCATGACTGCCTGTTTTAATTCACACATCCCTTTCTAAGACTTATAATTGCATTTCTCATAAAGGAAAGTATTAGCACAGGGGGTGATTGTGATCCAACTCTGCGGCTCCACTTAGAAATTGAGAGGGTGGTCAGCGGGGTCGAGCTTTCGAGAGGTCCCGAATGGCAGGACAGCGCTACAGACGTCATGGTCCTCAGTGGGACAGTGTCCTACCCCAGAGAGGCCAGCGAGGGCTGGCAGAGGGAAGCTGGAAGGCAGGTGGGGTTGACTGAGGTGTGCCAGGTCGGGAGGGGACGCCGGGGAGAGGCTCTGGAGAAAGTGTGCGCAGGGCAGAGGGCTGTGGCCAGCCCGCTCCAGCAGGAGGACATGAGTCAGGCCTGTCCAGAGGACTTCCTCATCCTCTCCTGGAAAGAGGACCAGGGAGGTACCTGTTTCATGCCCAGGAGGTCATGATAGCACCCATCAGAGTTAGATGCCATCTGGTCCTCACCTCGCAAGGAGCCCCGCCCCCGGTTCGCTGGCTTGGGGGTGCCCCCCGGGTCAGGGTTTCCCCAGTGTGGGGTGTGGGCCCCCGGTGACCTAGGAGAGAGTGGTGGAATCCCTCACACCACACAAAGGTGACTCCTTCTCGGGCTCAGCCTGCCTGGGGAAGCGCACCACGTCCCAACCCTTTTCTATCAAAGGGCCGTTGGCAGGCGACAATAGCTAGCTAGAATTTCCTAACACTGCTTATTCTAATTATAATTTATTTTTACTTTTACCTTCTGTTTATGGCCCGTGATCTTCGTGTTTTCCCATCTAACGCAGTCACATAAAGTTCCCTTATGGAGGCATTTACTTAAGTAATGGCAGTGAATGCGTTTAAAGAAAGATGGAAAGCAAATAGCAGAAGAAGGCGCCACTGGAAGGGCTGGGTCAAGAAGAGGCAGTGCACGGACCTGTGGGTGGCATCGGGTTTCGTAACTCATGGATCGGGAAGCGTATTTGACTCTTGCTTTGTTACGTTTGTTCTGACGGGAAAGGCAGCTGTGGGTGAGGACACATTAGGCAGGAGGGGTTCAGATGCAGCCAGCTCATCTTTGCAAACCCCCACTACCGTCCCCTCAAACCTGTCCGAGGCTTGCAGTCTGGTGAGACCTTGCCATATTCTGTGACAGAATCTGAGATGGGGGGAAAGTGGGGAGGTACATAGCGGCCGTCGAGGCAGCTGTCTGTAAATTGCTGCTGGGAGGAACACATGATACCAGACCATCCTCCCTGCCAAGAAAGTGAGGTGGACACCTACGATATCATCGTAACGTGACTTTTGGCTCCAGTGAGTTCGGGCTTCTGCTCCTGCAGCTCTGGCTCATCCCGCCTCGAGCTCCCCAGCCCAAGGCTCTCCAGGTGCCCTGGGTATCCTCCTTGCAGGGCGGTGGCATTGGACCCTCCGGCTGCTGGTCTGTTCCAACCTGGGAGGGCCTGGGTGCGGAGCGGTGACTGGCAGGCCGGGCTCCTTCCCTCCCTCTAGTTGCAGGCCTGGGGCATGGCTGGCTGTGGCCTTCATGTCGGCCTCCAGGCTTACCACACAGAACCCACAGAAGCCGGGCCCACCCCTGCCCTCCACCCAAAGGGTCACGGGAGCCCCCGTCTGACTTTGAAGCTGACAAGAGACAAGGTATTTGGAATTAAGTGAAGGGTGGGGGGATGGGGCGAGCCAGGCCTTGGGGTCACATAGCTGCAGGCACCTTGATGGCTGCTGCGTTGGCCTCCGTCCCTTACTTTCCAGGGTTCTGCGGTGGGCTAGAGCAGGGAATATATGATTATTTCAAAACATTTCTTCCTTTTTTTTTTTGAGACTCTGTCACCAGGCTGGAATGCAGTGGCACGATCCCGGCTCCCTGCAACCTCTGACTCAGCCTCCCGAGTAGCATTTTTAGTAGAGATGGGGTTTTGCCATGTTGGCCAAGATGGTCTCGATCTCCTGACCTCAAGTGATCCGCCCGCCTCGGCCTCCCAAAGTGCTGGGATTACATGCGTGAGCCACCGCGCCCGGTTTACTTATTTCATAACATTTCGTCCTTGCTGATGTTTAGCCCCTCAAACGGAGTCCGCAAGAGGTTGAACTGCCAAGGGCTCCCAGACCCCTGCCACCAAGGGTCCCTGGCTTGTGGTGACTCTGGGGGGCAGCGGTGCCCATCCTGGCGCTGGGGAATCTTTCCTGACTTCCCTTGTCCTCCCTCTCCTCCCCAGGGCCCGGCTTTGCCTGTGCCCTCCATTTTCTGCCCCCCTGTTCTGGGAAATGTGGGTGCCCCGAAAGCAACTTCCTGGGGAGCCATGCTCAGAAGGTCTGGGGGTCACTCAGGGGCTTGCCTTTTGTCAGGCTCCCCAGTGGCCTGGTGCAGGGACTCTGGGGGACCACATTTGGAAAACATGGGCCCCCCAGTTGTTGACTAGCACACGAGGGGCCGAACTGAGGGGCCATTGTCCAGCGTTTAGTGTGGAGCTGACTGGAGAAGTGGAAGGAGCAGGCCCTGGGATGGGAACAAGGGGGGCACAAAGGGGCCGCCACCTCCCATGATCTCCCGGGTCACACCAGTGCCTGCGAGAGGCCCCTGGAGCTCACCTTGTGAAAACGCAGGTGTCTGGTCATACCCCACGGGCTCTGATTCACAGGACTGGCCAGGCCAGAGAATCTAAATGTCTTTTCTTTCCTTTTTTTTTTTTTGAGATGGAGTTTTGCCCTTGTTGCCCAGGCTGGAGTGCAGTGGCACGATCTTGGCTCACCACAACCTCTGTCTCCTGGGTTCAAGCGATTCTCTTCCCTCAGTCTCCTGAGTAACTGGGATTACAGGCATGTGCCACCACGCCCAGCTAATTTTGTATTTTTAGTAGAGATGGGGTTTCTCCGTGTTGGTCAGTCTGGTCTTGAACCCCTGACCTCAGGTGATCCACCTGCCTTGGCCTCCCAAAGTGCTGGGATTATAGGCGTGAGCCACTGCACCCAGCCAGGAATCCAAATTTCTAACAAGTTCCTGGGCAAGGTCAATGCTGCTGGCCGGGAGGACCACACTTTGAGGACCACAGGTAGACATCGGCAGCTGCAGGCCCAGCTAGGACCCGGGCAGAGGCTGCGTCCTCCCCATTCCTCGGGAGCTGCCTCAGCCGCATGGTGATATCAACGTGGCATCTGCCTGGGGGCACCGGTGTTCATCCACGCTGAGTGCATCTCCCTTCATTTTACAGGCAAGAAAGCTGAGGCTCAGCGAGGGCAAGTGACCTGCAAAAGGCCACACAGGCAGAGAGTCAGGGAGTGGGTGGCCAAGCCCAGACCTGCCCGGCTTCATGTTCATGACATGAGGGGTCCAGCGGCTATGGTGTCACGTCCAGTTACCTAGTCCCCATCATTTAGAGGGGAGCGAGGTGGAGAACTAGGAGTGTGTGTGGCAGGAAGGGACTGGGGGAGAGAAAGGGGCCCAGGAATTGGGGGCACATGTGGCATTGAAAGGAGCAGCAGCCCAAAGTCACGTGGTGTGCTCATGTTCAAGGTCATGCTCAAGGTCACGAGTTCACCCCGGGGATCCCGCCTCACTGGAGCTGCGGTGGGCTCCTTCCCCAGGCTTCGGGGGTCTCCTTTGGCCAGGTGATCCCGTCCCTGTCACCACCCCAGGGCACACAGTGCAGCAGGCACACGTGACACCTGATATTCCACTAAACAGGACACTTGAGGGCGGAGGTGGGACGGCGGGTGGGGGTGAGAGGCTCCTCTTTGTCCACGTCCACACCTGCGCCGTGCACACCCGCCCCAGTCCTGGGTCTGGCATTGGTCTGGCTGTGGAGGGGCTTCACTGGGTTTGCAGGGGTTCACCCTGGGGATCCCGCCCTCACTGGAGGTGAGGAGGACCACGTTGGGAGCAGGAGGGGTAACTGCAGAGAGGAGAGCAGGGGTGGTC